TAAGAACACAATGATTTTACGTAAAAATTCAAGACGAGAAAAAATCACAGGCGGAGGAGAAGAATTATAAGATCTCAATACTCTCAACTAAGATCTAAAGCTATATATATATATACACACACACACACACACACACACACACACACACACACACACACACACACACACACGTTGAAAACTAAGTTGCAGATGAATTGAAGTCCAAAACGCAAAAAGCTGGAAAACACCGTCGCTCGAGCTATAGGTGGCGAGAAGCGGGCAACAGTTTTATGTTCTGAATTTAACGATTTTGCTCGAGCATTCAACTAGCAAAAATGCAGCAATACTTTGTATCGATTCATAAGTTGATTTCTCCAAAACCACTTCAAATTACAACTCCAATACCCACTAAAATTTGGGTCACACTACAACAAATACAAATTCGATTAATTAGATTGCATAAAGATAGCACTGACATGAAAGTACAATTAATTATAATATTGGTTGACAAAATTCCCAAATGGAATCGAAAAGCAGTTCTGTTGTTCTTAAGTTTAAATTGAGTAATAGTTAATAAAATCAAGAATTTAGGTTGAAAGTTCTAATTAGCCGATTTATTTAGACCTAACATTCGAAAATAAGCAATTAATAAACAACAAGTCACTTTTAATTGTTTCTAAGTAATTAGTCAATCAAGTTCAATTACACTATGATTTAAATGTCACAATCAATGATTATTACAGTTAAGAACACCAAAGATGATCATGGAGAAACCTGAACTGGGTACAATCTTCGGGCACTTTGTTAGTAGTAATCCATTGTAAATCGAAGCAAACTTATAGTACGGACCAGACCCGTCTATCCCGTAGAAATTCTAACCTCAATTCCTGTAGTCTTCCTCGATCCAATTGGAGGTTTGCTCCTTAATAACAAATTCTAATTCCTAGTTCTACTGGAGGGCGTGCTCCTGATGCCAGATATTGACTCCTGGTACTTTATCTTAGCCTTCCTGAATTTGTGCTTCTGTAACAGCTCCCTATCCCTGACATCGATTTATCTTCGATGGATTACATGAAGAATTCCTCATTCTTCCAATGGAATCTCATTCACAGCTCTAGAACTCCTAGATCGTCTTCCCAAACTCCATTAACTCTAAAGGCTAATTTGTGAAGGTAGGATTGGTGTTTGATCAAAGATCTTGTGTGTTTTGATCTTGGTTTAATAAGAATGTTTATAACTCGATCACCACATCTAATTCAAATGAATCTATGAATCAAATAATAAGGTGGTTGAATCTTGAAATCAATGAAAGTGATTTGGATCTTCAAAGCAATGACAACCATGGAGTAATTATGATTCACCACCCTTTTGGATGTTCATAGGATATGATATATATAGGGGAAATTGTTTGAGATGAAAATGGATTAAAAAACCAAGTGTTTGAAGTAAAACTGAATTTTGAACGTCAATCGATTGCTCAAGCACCAAGCCAACGACAGGCAACGTCACCTGAGCAGTTGTTAGAATTTTATTCATAACTTTCTTTCCCGATATTTGATTAAGGTTATTCAAAATGCGTTTGAAAGCTAACTCAATGTTCTACAATTCTTTTATGTAGTTTTGTCCAAATTCCAACGTTTTCTATGTGAAAAATGCATTGCAAATTGAGATTAAGAATTTGGAGCATAACTTTGCGGCTCTTTGACACTTTTTAGACTTCAAATTGCATTTCAATTATCATATGTGAACTTATTAGACATCTTGGACCATACTACCAACCCTTACTCTCTTGCTATAATTAGGACTCAATAATTCCTATTTTGACTTTGATTACAACTTAATAAACTTCTAATACAATTCAATTAGGACATGCTTTTGACTAAGGGAATTGCCAATTATAATTTAGACTTAACAAGTGTATTTTGTTATGTTCTCGGTTCAGATCCAAAATCAAGAATCAAATATCGCAAATTTTTTAATATCGAATCTTTCGAAATATTTTAATTTTTCTTAAAAAAAATTTGTTCTTATTAACAAATGTTATTTGTTATTTTTTATAAGATAAAACCAACGTTCTAAAAAACGCGTCTAGGCACGATGGGCGACGGAAAGGTCAAGCCAAGTGACTTAGGGCCTTATTTAGTTGTCAACAACAATTATTGACCGGTAATGTGCGCTTAGTCTCGCATTATTATCTTTTTTATTTTTATTTTTTTTACAATCGCACATTATTATCTTTTTTTCTAAAAAAAAAAAAAATTAAATTTTTTTTTTTACAATTCTTTTAAGTTAAAACTTAAAAACTGATTTTATTTATTTATTTATCTGCCCTAAATTCAAAACAGTCGTCTGAAACTTTATTATTTAGTATTTACATTTGAAACTTATTATTTTGTTGGAAACTTTGAAAAAATGTATAAAGTTTCTATAAATCTATTTTAGATGTTTTATAGGTGTTATTTTTAATTATTAAATAATCTTCTAATTGATTAAAAATTAAAATAATTTTAAAATAATAAAATACATATTTATTTATTTTTACGCCTATGTCCAGTCTAAACTCGTCTAGCTCATAAATTGGACTCCACATATCGTTACACATTACGCTTTTTAGAACACTGGATGAAACATTTCATTTGTTATATAAATGTTGTGTTCATCCAAACTTTAATTAGGAGAATTGACTATTCGTTGAAATAATGAAAAGGTTGAAACTTAATAATGCAATGGAAGTTAATCGAAAATTGGTTTCATAATTAAAGTTGGATTTGACCATTCATTCATAAGACATTTAGTAATGTATCTTTCCATTTCATTCTTTTTAAATGAACCAAACCAAGTCGTGCCCACTCTTTACCTACTTTAAGGAATTGCCAGAACATAAGTGTGGATACACAATAATTCATGCACAAAATAAATAGAAAGATAAAGATTAAAGATCCACGTGAAACGCAATGTTATAATTAATCGTATAACATATAAAGATGGACTACTTTAGATCTGGATGCACATTTTCCATACTTTATTTTATTAAGTTAAAAGAGATTATTATTAATTAATATTTGCGCCAACGGCTGTCAAAGATGTCGAAAACCAAAAGGATTAAAAGTTCTTAATTTAATATAAAATTTAGGGTCCGTTTAATTGTAAGAATAGAATTTGGGTAGAAAGAAAACGAATTCCAGGAAATTGAGTTGCCTAGAACTTGTTTCATTGGAAATTGTCAATTAAATTTGTTTGATTAGTATAAAGTTGAAATTTTGGATCTTTTGATATTCGTTTGACTTTATTTTCTATGAAAATTATCTATTAAAGGGATAGAATATATTACAATTGCAAATATAATTTGTTTCATTGTAAATAAAAAAAAATACTGAAAAACCAATTTCCACCAAAACCAAAGGAAAACATTGACCTGGAAAAAGGGATCACGTGAGGGGTTGGAATTTTGTCCATCAAACATACCACTTGAGTGGAAAATAAAATTTTTTCTATGAAAATGGAGCCCATCAAACAGGCCCTTAGATTTAAATTTAGTAACAATTCATTTATAAAACACATACGTAAAAAAAAAAAAAAAAAAAAAAAAAAAAAAAAAATTTAAAATTTCAAAAAAAAAAAAAAAGAGAGGTCAAAGAATTTAAATTAATTATCATTTATTTATAACTAACAAAAGTATAATTTTTCAAGTCAAAAATTAAGAACGAAGCTTGGTGTACAGATAGGGGTTCACAGAAACCATACCGACACCTCAGTTGGATACCATACATTGGAGTGATAGACGGCAGATATTTGGAGGTATGCTCTCAAATTATTCCTTTTTTGACATAATCATTTGCATAAATTATTGATTGTGACACTTGTTTTTTTGATGATCTGCATCATCATCAATTATTCAACAAAGTATGATTTATTTTATCAATTGTCAAGAAAATTTATATCAAAATTCTAATTTGTCCTCGTCTAAGATTTACTCGTGAATTTCGTGGATTTGAATATATTTTCAAAAATTTAATAAAAATCTCATTAAATCTAGTGAAATTTTAAAAGATTTTGTTATATGTATTTTTAAGCTTAAAATTCATCGAAATCTTTTAAAATTCCCTTATTAATGAAATCCTTATAAGTTCACAAGTTATTGAAAATGCCTAAATCTTCAAACGTTTCATTAAAATATCAATTGAAGACACCTAAATATGGAATGAACTTTAAAATCCATCAAAATATCAATCAAAGACACTCTCCTTACTCGATTAGTGATTACTAAAGCCCTATTCGATTCGTGTTTCAATTTTCAGTTTTCAGTTTTAAACTCATTTTCAATTAACTATTTTGAGGGTCTATTTTAAGGTTTCCAAAAAAAGGGTTTGGTTTGTCATTTTGAAAAATTATTTTTCAAAATAGAAAATTAAAAAATACATTTCGTTTGAAATTTCGAAAAATTAGTTGTTGTTATTATTATTATTATTATTTCCTTCTATCAAAAAATACAATTGACATCTCTCCATTGGAGGGGTTTTCGACCACTAAATATCTATTTTACTTAATTATTGAATATACTCTAATAGACTAAGATTATATCAAATTTTAATTTAAACAACATATTTCATAGAATCTAACAATTTTTACTAACTTTTCTATAACACTTTAAATGAACTTTTACCAAAATTCGCTAAAACTTTGTCAAACAACTCTCAATAATAGAATTGATCTCTTATTTGTCCCTCATAGAGTGGTCGAGTTGGTAGAGTATGTGAGTGCAGAGACCTTTGGTCGAGCCTGTCGCACCGAGTTTGCCTAGTACAATTTACCTGATTGACGTATTTAAAGATTATTACTCAGCCCAAAGGTTTATCAAGTGCGCATGCGAAAGATAACGACTACGGGTTCCAACATCGTGAAAAATAAATAAAGAAGAATTGATCTCCAATCTTCAGAATAGGATAAAACTTTTCACATGGCCAGAATGTAAACTTAAGTTTTATAATAATATATTGGCAGTAGAAAGTTTCAAACGGGAGATCATGATTGCTCTCACAATTATAACTTGACCGTTCTCTTGGCTTATAAAGACACCATTTTGTGATTTGCTTTGGTATCTATCCCTCTCTGTTTCTCTCTGTTCCTCTCTCTCTCTCTCTCGAGAACAGAAAGGAAGGTGAAAATGGGAAGATCCCCTTGTTGCTCTAAGGTGGGGTTGAGAAGAGGACCATGGTCAACCAGAGAAGACACTTTGCTAACAAATTACATTCAAGAACATGGTGAAGGCCAATGGAGATCTCTCCCCAAGCAAGCTGGTAAGTATTTTCTTGAAATTCGTCCACTCCCTATTTTCATTTCGCCAGAGTCTGACGTTTTCTTATCGTTAATGTGCAAAAAATTATAGGGTTGTTGAGATGTGGAAAGAGTTGCAGATTGAGATGGATGAACTATTTGAGGCCTGGTATTAAGAGAGGAAATATCACTCCGGATGAAGAAGACTTGATAACGAGACTCCACTCTCTTCTGGGAAATCGATGGTCACTCATCGCAGGAAGATTGCCCGGTCGAACGGACAATGAGATTAAGAATTACTGGAATACACATCTTCTCAAGAAGCTAAAAACGGCAGGAATCGAACCCAAAGATTTGCCAAAACAACGAAAAGAGCCAAAGCTAAAATCCAAGAAATCCGCAGTTCCAAAACCCAATGACAAGCCGGAAAAGAAGGAAAGCGAGAAAATCAATAAAGGAAATACAAACGATTCCAAAACAGTAGAAGAAGAAGAAGCAGCTCCTAAGATTACAGTTTATCTGCCAAAAGCTATAAGGGTTTCTTCAGTATTTTCAAGAAGTAACAGTGTTGACAGTTTATTCAGTGGCTCATCATCATCATCAAGTGAATGTGATGTGGGAAAATATGCAACACTTCCTGAAACGGCGTCGTATATAGACTGGCCTATGTTTGAGCTTGAGGATGCAAACTATGGAGTTTGTGGAGAATCTCAAGAACTTGAATTTTTTGGTGGATTTGATATGTCACTCCTACATTCAGAGTCTTCCAATCATGTAAACATGCTTGAACAAGTCTATGATGAATATTTACAGCTTCTTTAAATTATAAATTAGTATGTTAATTAATTTTTATATAATTTTGTTTAGATTATGCCATTTATGGTTTTTGTTGTTGGAAGATATAAATAGAAAATAATCTAGAAGTTGATGTGTTTGTAATGGTACCATACGTACATCAAATAAACAATGATGAGAAAATTCCAAATGAATCTCCACTTTTTATTTTTTTTTAGGTCCTATCAAATTTTAAATTTTACACTATTAAATTTTTATATATTGGCCAAGTATACACTCGAACCCAGACCTACCCCAAGCCTATTACCTTTTAAGGGCAGAAAGGGTTGTAGGCGGGGGGAATCCTCTCCTCGTCTCCACCATTGCTCGAGCCTCTCCTACCTATTATTTTTTTCAACAATGCTACAAAGACAAGCTAAAAAGGGGTAAAAAAAGGGGTAGACACGCATCGAAGTATGATTTGACAATTTGAAGGAAAAAAATTACTTTATGTCAAATCAGTCTGTCTCTGAATTCCTGTTTGTTAGCATGTTTGACTGGCATTATTCTATTTCTTTTGAAAGGAAAGATTTTCTAATAATAAAGACAAATAATTGCATCGATGTTTGGTTCATTGCGCCGAAATTGATTGGAGAAAGGAATGGTTCTATTTATAGTTAAAATGTACTAAAAATGCCACTAAATTAGTTAATTTGAATGATAATTCTAATTACAAAACAAAAGGCCTTAAAGTTAAATCATCAAAAGGCAAACATTAATTAAATGGAAAGTTATCAATTATGAAAAGTTCATTAACAAAAAAAATAAAAAAATCCAATTTAACTTTTTGTTTGTGTACTGATATACTACGCTTTACAATTATAATACAACATATAATCCACTATTATTGCAGATTTGGCAAATTTATAAATTATTAAACTTTATTTTTAATCACACGTTTCAATAAATTTACAAATACTATCTACTTATTTATCACTATATTTTTAAAATTAAATTCTTAATAAACAAAGGAAACACAATTTCATGTATCCTTGCATTTCAATGACTATAATTATTTTTGTATTAAATTTATCAAATGATGACCACACATCACACATGATAAGAGAACGTTCCATTCGTTATAATTAATGTCGTCCATTGGTTCGTACAGGGCATGGTCTCCCATTTTTGGTAGTCCACTTTGTGTACTGCACAATAATTTTTCAATAAATATACGAAACAATATAAAAAATGTTTATATCACTTCGACTAGGCCTAGTCCTTCGACGAATCTCCCATAGGTTATGATTAAAAATAGTGAATTTCAAAATGTTTAGAGAACACACGTCGAGTGATAAAACCCTTTATTCTTGAATACTTCCGTGTTATAACAATTGGACCATGATCAATGAATCCATTTGATAATGAAACAATCTTACGAAGCCCTAAAATCCACCCAAAATCGCTTAAAATAGTTTCGTTTGTAAGTGAAAAATTATCGCAATAATCACAGGACTCTATCAATAACAACGTTTTATCCTAATTTATCCTAGAAATTCAACTATAGTCGTCAAGAGAAAAATGTTAACAGAATTCTAGCGTGCTGTGACGTATAGGATAACTAGGAGATGTCAAGGAATTTATTGACAAGTTCGTATAAATTTTTTAGCTCGACAATTTACATACAAGACTAAGCTAACCGACATTTTAAAATAATATAATAAAAAGCTTAAGATTAAAATTACTGCTGACGTTTTTTAACGTTATATATTTTTAGATGAGATGATTTGATACATATCTTATTAATTTATATATATTTGCTCCACTTTTTGAGTTCCCTAACATTTGCTTTTAACAATTTTCGTTAGAAAAAGTATCAATACGACTAAACTTTTCATATGCCAATAATTTTAGAAAAGCGCGTCCAAAGTTTCAACTGCCCATAATTTTACAGGTGAAAAACGTGCTTCTGATTAGACTTGAAATTTTGAGCAATTCAGACAGATTTACTATTTTGATTGATTGCAATGTACATACGTGAACGGTCGTAGTTTATTAAAGAATAAAAAAAAATTTAGAAAATATTTATGACGAAGAGACATAATCGTGACTCATTTGTGGGTGCTTATATTCACACCACATTTTTTTTTTTTTATAAATATAACAAATTTTAATTACATTAAAGGCAACTTTGGATTCAATCTATAAGAATCAATAGAAAAGACAGATCCCTTATTACATATTATATATGACTCGATTACCGATAAAGTGAATAAATTTGCTATTTTTTGAAATCTCTCTCATCACCCTTCGTTAACTATATTCTTCATCACATTCTTATTTTTAATATTTTATTTGTTAGAAAATCTTGTCCTTAATCATGTTTTTCGATAAAAATATTGTTAACATACTTTAAAATGAAAGTAAAAAAAAAAAAATTGATCATATTTGTACGTTATTGTTTGTTTTACTTAGTAAAATATGCAATGGACAAATGAGTCTTTTTACTACATCTTAAAGAAAAATATGGAGAGAATCCATAATGAGGAACAATTTATTTTAATTTGAAAAAAAAAAATGAAATGAAAAAGAATTTGAGACGTAAATGTGATCATGTGTAATGACTATAAACTTTCATACAATTAAAACGTAATCTAGTTATAAAAAACTTTGATGTGAATACATTTAGCATTTAGCTTTTATGTAGTTTAATATTTCACACCTTTGATTTTACGCTTAATCTAGGTTGTATGGAAGCAAAACTTGATATGGCACAATTAGCGTGCGTTTGATTGCAACCATGAAATTATATGGAAAGAAAATACATTCTAGGTAATTTAATTGTCTAGAACTTATTTGTATGAAAATTAGTAATTAAATGTGTTTAATTAATTTAATTTTCAACTTAGAAAATATTATACTTGTCCATTTTTTATTGAAGGGTACGCGAGAAAGAGTGGATAGATAAGAGAAAGTGAATTATTTGGAAAATAAAAACCACATCTCCCTAAAAAAATATTTTTCTTATCTTTTAAGGAAAATATGTCATGTGACTAAAAGTTGGAAAATATTTTTCATGGAAATTTTTTTCAATAAAATACTTTAAAAGTAGGAATTTGAATGGGAAAATGATATTTTTCATAGAAAATAAAACCAATTAAACACATTCTTAGCATTTCATTAAAAAAAAATGCAGTGAAAACATTATACAAAAAAGCTAATATTAATTAAATAAATCCAATTTAATAAAAATGAAATCCGATACACAAATAATCTTTTTAAAAAATATGACAATGAATAAATATTTATATATTTTTAGGTGAAAAAAATAAAATTAAAAATGAAATGATTGCTTTGAATGTTCTTAATCAAAGTTTGAAATGCATAATCTTTCTTTGATTGATTGCTATTTTTGCGGTTTGAATTCTATTCGATTAAAGTTTAATAGAAAAAAATATATTCTCCATCCAGATAGGGATCTGAATAGTGGACGGTGGGTGGCTCAAATAATTGATAAAATATAATTTATATTAAAATCTAACACATTAGTTTTAGTAACAATAGACAGTCCTTGAAAGGTGGAAGAGCATCTGGGAATATCTCCGTTTCTCACTTCTTCGATCGATCCTGTTAGCAGCTACTTCGATCCGGTCGAGTGAATCTCAACTTAATACGGAACTATCTGCTCTCTCTACTCTATATGATTCCGCTTCACCTTTTTTTTTCTTTTGTAGCCTTCTAAAATGAGGCCATACTATATATATTTAGGTCATGGGTGGAGGAGGAGAGTGGGTACGAGGGCTCCTTCTAGCCCTTAACAATTAAGTTACTTTTAAGTTAAGAAGCATAATTATATTATTTTCTAATGGAGCTAGTTCCAATAATTAAATAGACAAGATATTTGTTGTTAATGATACGGTCTCTTCTGGATTTTAAATAATCCCAACTTGGCTCAAACGTTTTGACTTGTGAGCATGAATTTCAGGAAAAAAAAACAATGAAAAAAATGATCAAAATATCAACGGTGATGTTCGACACATCGTGAACACTTCTATTTCATTAAGCAAACCATATTTACAACTGGATTTGGGTTAGTGCATAATTAGACTATCAATGAGAAGTTTTGAGTTTTCGATTTTTAAAAATTGAAGTTCTGAATCGTCAACCCATTTGTATATGTAAAATTTAGGTTAATACGCGATGGAAACTATCAATGTGAACGTTAAAATCACACTGAATTTTCATGTGACTTAAAAATAAGGAAAATTCTATTTGTACATAATTATTACACATAATGGTGTTCATAATATGATGTGGCACTCATCCGATTATTGATGTGTAAGTATGAGATTTGAATTAAAGGTTGGATTCAATACCACATGTAATTATATACATCATTATGTAGACAATTATGTACATATAACACTTCTCTAAAAATAAAGTGTTAAACTATCAACCACTTAATGCTTAACTTTATGTTATGTGAGATTTAACGCCTAAATTGATGATTTTTTCATTTAGGTCAAGCGCATGTAATTTTTACAAACATGTCTATTTTACAAAATCTCTCTTCGAAAAAGTTTTTAGATTATTACGCCTTTCGTATGGGTCGAAGCTTAACCGAGAGACTAAAAATCTCAAAAGTCAGAGAGATGAAAGCAACTTGCACTAATCAGTGCGAGTGACGTATTTTGGAAGGGCGCTACAACTTGAACGGGGTCATGTAAGCCTTGTTCAAACACTTGGCGCCCCGATAGACGTGGGGCTTCATTTATATTAATTCATTTTGGAAATCACATGCAATGTGACAGTGACACCATGTTTCCCAATAAATTCGGATGTTGTGCGTGTACCAGAGACAGGACAAGGTTGGACCACTGGCCACTGTCATGTGGTTTTTATAAAAATAACTTATTTATCAGTTTTCCACTCTTTCAGATTTGAAAACAATTCCTCTTCCCACACACCCTAGGAAGCACGTGAATCACGTCACGTGGGACATTGACCAATCATCTATTTAAAAAAAAAAAAAAAAAAAGTTGAACCCTAATCTTGAGGGTCCCCACCGCTCCACCCCTGGAGTATCGCGAGGGAGTTTAAATCG